TCCATCTAATGTAACACAACAATAGGAACCAACAGGAACAAAAACCAGGTCGTGCTAGAATATGCAAATAATTGTTCTTATATAGATACAAGTTGATGAACTAGTACAGTGCTATATCCTCAGAGACTCAGCTCTGTCCTCAATCAGGACCCTAAACATTTCAGATCTGAGATAATTCTTCTTGTTGTTCCCTAGAATGAAGTGAATGAATTATAATGAATTTGTTTTTGTTTTTATTTTTTATATGTGCCCTCCTGATACTGCATCAAACATCTGGGAGACTGTGAGGATCCCATTTATGATGTGAAAAAAAAGGCATGCTAAGAAATATCCTGCTTTGTTTCCCATTTAGAATCTAGATATACCACCCATCAATTAGACAGGCTGCCATGGCCCAATTTTTGCGTGGGCATTGAGATAATTCTTCTCTCAGCACACCTGGGATCTCAGGATCCCAAACCCATTGAGAATGTGGAAAGATGACCCTCCTCTGTACCTCTTTTCCTGGAACCATCTGTACAGGAACAGCCTGATAGGCCTCCTGACAGCCTATTATATGGAGAAAGATATTGTACAAGTAAAATCAGTTATGTGTGCTTTCTTTTGCTAAAAGACTGTTGAAAAGAGAGCAAGGTTAAAGTCACCCACACATTTAGTGATCTCATTAAAGATTAGTGGGATATGGAGGAGCTTTTAATTTCACCCCAACCCAGAAATCCTGAATATTATCATTGATGGTAGAATAAGGGGTAGAATTTAGAAACCAACTTTTAAGCAATAAATTAATGACAAGTTTCTACAATAATACAACATTTTCACAGGATAGTGAAAGTTTAAAAATGCTGAGAAAACTTTGGAATTAAGAGTAGATAAACTAAACACTCATTTAAAAAATCAATTTCTAATTAGATGTAGGTATACTAAACTACCTTTTTGTTATTATAGACTAGTGACAGTATCCTGTCCCAGAAAATGCAAAAGGAAGGATGTTTTTTCATGACTTTTAACAATGTCTCACCATTTTACCAAACAACTGGCAGGATTCATCTAATTTTCTGGACTGGAGATACTGTGCAAAAATATTGAGTGACATATTGCTATGCCTTCACCTCATATTTTACCCTTCGTATTGGGCACATTTCACTAAAACAACATTGCCTATCAATTCATCTTTCTTCAATAGTACAATCTCCTTGTTTTCTCTTTCCCCTGACAGAATATTCTTTTTCTCTCTCTTCCACACAGTCAAGATCCTTGGGTCTGTCATATATCATGTCATTATCACTTTCTTCTCTCCTCAATTTCCTTACCAATATGTAGCTGTCAGAGAAATGAGGGCAAAACAGGCTGAGACTCATCTTCATCTAAGAAGCACGCCTGAATTACTGGCAAACCAGATCTCCTGACTTAAGGAGTTACATTGTGATATGCAAGCAATTCAAGCACATGGAAAGGAAGTACAGTAGTTGGTTTGGTCCACATTTTGATAGAAACGTATCAAATTTGCAGTCCCCAAACTCATACTTGAATTAGGACACAATTATTCTTTTACTTGTGCACATCTTGGCATTTTAGTATATAGTTATCCATCCCCTAAATTAGAGGGTGGAAATGGTACAACTTAGGGGGAATGAAAACAATGTACAAGAGAGCTGTTGATGGGAAAACTCCTTGCACATTAAATTTAAATTTGTGAAAGACTGTGCATCGAGATGATTCTCCTCATGCAACATCATTTCTCAGCACTCTTGGGCTATTGGGAGCCCAAATCTACTGAGAAAAGGAAAAGATGCCTCTACTGTGTCACTGAGTTTAAAAACAAATTGACTTTAAAAACAATCACAAACTGATGCAGAAACAAGGTGGGACTAATTTGGGTTTTTAAAAAATGAGAGTATGACCCAGGACCAGACTTTCACTAATTTTAACAGTGGAATCCAGTCAAAGTGGGAGAGTAATGACCTTGCCTCCGCTGCATCCTGTGTGCTCCAAACCCTGTTCCTAATGGTTAATAAAAGCTCTGGAACCAGCTTTTGGGCAGCTGCTTTAGGGGTAAACGGAGGGAAAGCATGTGCTGATGCTACCTTGCAAGGCGAACACTGAATTTAGGCCTATGAATGATAAAAAAATGAAACAGACAGATAATGCTTCCCTATTCCTGAGACATACTTCAGACCAGCAGTTCTTAACCTTTTCTTTACCACTGACCCCCTTTAAATATCTTTTATTGCTGCAGACTGCCAAGACTTAACTCAAGATTTAAAACCCTGAAGTGCATCAAATATTTATTTAAAGTTTCTCATGAAGGGTCTCATTGACATATTTCTTGCTGTAATGGCAACACTTTGTAAAGTGATTGGAAGAAGCTTCCTTTTTTTCTGAACAGGATACACCCTCATCAACAGCATCAATTCTGTTACGTTTCAGATTCAGCCAGCAATCCATTATAAGGCTCAGCCAAAATATATTTTTACAAAATTCACTATGATAATACCAAAAAGTCACTTTACTCACAGCAATCAAAAGGATTTATTAGCAGAAATCGAAGAAGAAACACGTCACAAAGTCTGTTCTGTCCGAACACTCACACTGACTCTGACTCTCTCTTCCTGTGGCTTTTGACTTTCGTGCAATAGCAAGAAATGTCACATGCTGTCTCTCAGCCATTCAGCATCATTCACTTGTGCGTTCTCACCATGTTCAGAAATATTAAACAGTTATTTGCAATCAAGCAGTTCTTTTCATAACCATTTTAAACTTATGTTTGTTTTTAATGGAGCCAGTAAAGCAAAAAGCAAAGGGTGCTGCTTATACAAGTTTATGTTTGTAAGTTAATTATGCAGGCTACACATTGCCCCCTCCTGAAAACTGGGTACCCGTTTTACTGGCCCCATGACTGAAGGCTGAGTTAATCTTGAGCCAGCTACCTCATGATTGAAGGCTGAGTTAATCTTGAACCAGCTACCTGCGATCAAACCCCAGGTCATGTGCAGAGTTTTGGCTACAGTACAGCAGTTTAACCACTGCACCATGAGGCTCCTTAGGTTAGAAAAGCCAAGTTTAACAAGCAAGTGAAATTAAGATTTTGTTCTACATTTCCTGTTCTTTCTTTCTTTCATTCTAATTGGAAAATATCATATCATTTCTTAAAGCTTTCGCAAACCCCTGTGAGACATTTTGGTGCCCTGCTGGTCTGCGGACCACAGGTTAAGAACCTATGCTTTAGACACCTCTGCATTAGGAAAGTGAAACATGTAGGGGACAACGTTATAACAATTACATTGGAGTAGGGCTCATTTAACTCATTAGGAATAATGTCTGAATACACATTTAAGAGTAAGTTATTAAGAGACTATAATTGAATTTATTAGCTTTTGTGAAATAATATAGTACACTACAGTAGTTTTGCTGACATTTATATCTGCTATTTGAGTATCAAATATGAAACTGGTTTCTCTGTGCCCAGAGAAAGCAGACAGATATGTGAAAAAGGAGATCCGATTTTTCAAAATATCTCATCTACCTCTTATTAGAGATTTTTAAATAAATCATAAATTGTAATGAACATTTAAACATTAACAGTATGAAGGTATTAGCTACCTGCCATGCCATTTGGACTGAATACTAAAAACACTGATGGTAGTGTTACACATTAATATTTCCTTATATCAGTACCCATTATCAGGCAATGCAAGTTTGCCTAGAACATGGCACTGGTCCATTGAAACACTCATATTTTAACTTTAAGAACCTGATCTAGCAAATATTAAGGTGTCACAGTGAGACATAACCCTAGAACGTCTAAGCTACAACTCTGAGAAGTGATAACTTACTGATCTTCTATTGTGCCGTGGAATGTTATTTAACCACAAGGTGATGTTGAATGCCTCCTTTGCCATGTGCTAAGTTTGTTTCTTTCCTCCATGTTTCATCTTTTTGTGCTTCATTCTGAAACACTGAGTGCTATGTCTATAACCCGTTTGGTTTTGTAGGGTTTCCCTTTGAATCTATCAATACGCTTCTTTAATTACCCAGAAACCAGCTTATTCACTTTTCCATAGGGGCCAGAATCACTTTCAGAGAAAAGGATTTAATCATAGCCCTCATTGTATTATATTTTATAATGGTGAGTTTGTTGAGTAATTGGTATAGTATTGATTTCTGTATATGGAAAATTAAATAGTTTAAAGCCAAACTTGGTACTTTTTCTTTTGTCAGTGATAGAATATATTGTACTCTGAAACTGAAGAGTGAATAACATTTCAAAGATTATATTTGTATTCATGGGTCATTGTACTTTGGGTTTTATCTGTCATGCCCTAAACCCTTTTACTATGTTTCATTACATGAGCAGTCTTGCAGGCAAGTTATAGACTTGCTGCACTGTACATATATTGGAATGATTTGTCTACAATTCTATGTTTTGCTGAGGGGAAGGACTGGTACAGAAGATTTCATATTTGATTGCTGCTAGCATTGGTGAATAGAATGCAGTAAGCTTCCAAAGCATGCTGCAGGTTTCTTCTTTTAGAACAGACAGCATATTTAAGTGGCAAATTGTTTTGCAATATTTTCTGGATTTATATGATAAATCATTTTTCAATACTCTGAGTACAATGTGTGCAATAAACAATGGAACAGTAGTCAAGTGTAGACTATATGCTGTTTTCCATAGCTGTACAGTGAGAATACATTAAACTGGCAAAGGACAGAATTGGCTTTTATCTTATGCAAGATATGCTATAGAGCTCTCCAAAAAGTGGAGACAAAGGGCCTATTGTTAAATTCTCCTTGCTGCATATTATCATTTGAAGAATATGCTTACTATTTTTAGAAGGGTCTTTTTGCCGGGTACTGATGCCTTCAACTTCTAAAGCGGGGGGGGGGGAGACCCATCTACACTGTCATTGGTGTTAGTCATTTTTACAGAGGAGGAAAGGAGGAGGAGAAGCTGCAGAAATCCCTCTCCTCCTCCCTCCTTCTTCTCTCAGGCAGTAGTAACTGTGTGAGGATGCCTTGTCCTCGTTTTATTACTTCAGAGATTTTATTGCTGGCAGCCAGATGTGCTGAAACTCCTGATGACAGCATCTATACATTGTGCATTTTGAAGAGGCTTAGAGAAATATGAGTAGTGTATTTGAAAGCAGCTCAGCTTTACACTTCAGCAGGGAATGCCCAAAAAGATCGCTGCTGTTTGGAATTCTTGCTGTACGGGAGCTGTACGGGAGCTAAACCTTCCACGACTGAATTAGGAGAATAATGACTGTACAATTAACTATCAGCCCATGCTCATTTAGTCACATTTTTTATCGAGATCAGGAGAAATATGGAACTTGATTGGCATGTCTGTATTTGATGGTGACTGCAAAACAGATGACTTTTTGCACAGGTGGTAAGGAGGAACAGAAGGCAAGAGAGAAAAAATGCAATTTGAGACATTGCGCCAGGTCTGCAATTCTGTGTTATCGCATTTTCATGGGGTTTTCTCTTCTCCTCCAAATATTTTACAAAATGACCTTTTTGCACAAACGTTGGATAATGCTAGGTAAGTCGGAATGTATCATTTCCCTCTTCAGCATTGGAGTGGTCATGACAGCAGTATGTGCATGAGCTTGCTTTTCACTGAATAATCACACCTAAACATGTATTGAAATAAGATGTTTATAATGACAATGAGACTTCCGTGGATCATCTGTTGCTTTGCATAGTGTATTTAAACCAAACATATTAGGTAAAAATAGAATAGCTGCATTACTGCAACAAAAATATACAACATGCAGTGTGGATACATGGTGAAGCACATTATCAGATAGGCAGGAATAGGCACAGAATCCATATCCTTATGAAATATTCATAGGATATATGTGGAACAAAATACAGTAACTGCTCTTTGAATATGGTAATACACAGGGTTGTGGCTTTTTAACCATAACTAATTTGCTGGAGGGAGTGAGGGGGTAAATGAGCAGTTCTGCCTACAGTTTTCAAAAGATTCAGGATGCCGTGTGTGTGTGTGTGTGTGTGTGTGTGTGTGTGTGAGAGAGAGAGAGAGAGAGAGAGAGAGAGAGAGAGAGAGAGAGAGAGAGAGAGCAGCTGTTAATTTCATTCCGGTTCAAGCATGTATTTAAACCTCCCTTGCATTTTATATCCATCAGTATCTCTTGTGCCATTTAATCAGTAACATCCTCTGTATAAATCCTATTTATATAAATCCTTTTCATACCCTCACAATGTAAGTAAAACAGTTCCCCTCCTTGGACTTTCAAGTGCCCCCCCCCAATTTCCTCCCTAGTTTGACAAAATGGAATAAAAGCTGTTGGACTGCAAATTATCTATGCAAAATACTGCATACCCCAGAAGCATATCCCAAGGCCTGTGTGCTGGCTTACTGTTCTAAGTCACATATAAACCTATTCTGTTCTGCTTGTTTCTGATGTGTAGGTCCTACTCAGACTGGATGCTTGTTTTTGTGCAGACACAAATTCTGTGCCTGTATATGTTTCTTATGTGCGTAAATCTTGCATTGAATTTAATCTGACAGAATAGCAGTGTGTATATTTCATAGAAGTGGCTGGTAAAAGAAAACAGCAGCCTCTACAGCTTGGTTTCATAATTTTGGGCTGTAGATTATTTCACCTTTAGGAATCCTGAGCTGTACTCTATGCCCATATTCTTTTGGGAATAAGTTCCTGTTGTGCTTTCACATGTGGCATTAAACATAGTCTAAATTCTGCATATTCTGGCAATAAAATTTACACAGTCTTATTACTGGCAAACTTTCAAAGACCTTTATTTTGTAACTATTTTTATCTCAGAGGTAAATGATTTTAAATTGCTCAGTATTAATAATAATCTGAAGACCACACTGAATTATTGCTCACTGGATGAATGTAATTATTATGGGCAACTTTCACCCATCCTACTGTTTTCTTGATACTATCATAATAGTGATAGTGATCATAATAATTCATTTTTGATTTTTGATTTTATAGCTTTTCTTCTGGAATATTTAGATTGTGAGCATAGTAGGAGTTACTTCGGAGTACATATGCTTAGGATTGTGTTTGTTGTCCTTTTCCTCAAAATCAATTGTTAGCATATATTTTGAAAAATTTCAGAACAAGGAGGCATACAAGCTAACATTCATGTTTTTTGGTAGAATGGCAGCAAAATGAAGTTGTGATTAAGTTGGGGACGTCCTTGTCAATGATATTTATTTCTAAAATATTATACTTGAGAGAGTACTGCTGACTGGCAACTAAGAAGTTATTTATTTAAAAATTGTACAGCCAGAATTTTTGTTTCTTTCTGTTAATGTAGCATAATATTCTGTATTCTCTCTCTCTCTCTCTCTCTCTCTCTCTCTCTCTCTCTCTCTCTCTCACACACACACACACACACACACACACACACACACACACACACACACACCTGTTTTGTAGGATCTGGAGTATGTTTTTGCTTCTTATAAGCACTGCACACTAATAACAGATTTTATCAAATTGGCTGTCTTCACCTTGCACTTGGAGAGCTTAGTACGTGGCTCTTCTTTTATTAGCTATATACAGTATTTATCTTGGGCTTCGTGTTTTTATGCTAATCCTTTTGGTTCCGTTAACTGCACTGCAATGCTGCTGCACATCCTGCATGTGTGTTGTGGTATCCATGCACTTCCAACTGCACATCAGTTTCCTACCATTCCTAACCCCATCTTGCTGAAGCAGCAGAATTTTTACACAAGCCTAGGGCTATTGAACATCGTAGATCATGTTTATCTGCATCTGGCTGTATATATCATCTGTTTTGGTGTTCATATTTACTGTGAAATTCTCTTGCTAGAAAAGGTTCTGTTATATTTTTTTCCTGGTTTATAGAACGAAATTAATTTCTATATCTACTGTGTTGTCATTGGAGTAAAAGCCGATGAAATGAAAAGTCTTTATATATTTTTCCTCCCCTGAAAATGAATTTTAATTTGTTGTAATTTAATTCTTGTATTTGCCTGTCTTTAATTTAAAGACAGATACTCTGTGATACTGTTTTGTAGGCTTTGGCCTATTCAGTTCTAGCATCTTAAAATTAAACTGCTGAAGGCATCATATTGCAGTGATTCTTACATTTTATAAAAACTCTTCATTGTGGGTTATAGTTCTTCAGCATTTTGACTGCTATTCTTCCTTTAAAGCTGACTGTATTAATATTTGTTAATTGGAAGCTCTATTTATAGCAGGATTCTTTAACTGCAACGGAGTTCAAAAGTGCTTTAAGCACATTCTTATTGCGTAAGGATAAATATCTCTTGTGATGAAAAATGTTACTACTGTACAGAATGGCAGAATTCTAATTTTCAACTAGGGTATTTAACCTAAGTTTTTATTCTTTTAGGATAAAAACATAAGGACTTTTATTGCCCAAACAACTTTCTCTGACATCTGTTTTTCAATGGTAGCTAACAGTGAGAAGGCAAATTTTTGTGCATTTTGGCCATAGAGGGGCATGAGACAACTAATTGTTTCTGAAGACAGTCAAACAATTATTCTTATCATAGGGAATTTCCATGACAAAGACATAACTGGGAACTCTCTTTACATGTTTTACTCTCCTTAGATGTACTTAGTCCTTTAGGATGGAACACAAGAAATATTTCTTTTAAAAAATTAATACTACAATCATAACCTTACAGTAGAAATTTTACTGATAATTTTTCATAAGAGTAGTCTAATTTTCTTGGAAAGATGTTATTTTGAATTAATTGTTTTGAAAAATAAAATGAAAAGATATGTGATACTCAGGAATACTGACATGTATATTTTAAGTATGTTATATTAATGTTTGGTACCTAATATAATGTAGTGGATAGAGTGACAGATTACCACTCAAGATATCTGGGTTTTACTCCCTATTTGGTAACGGACCCCCCATTTGGTCACGGGGAGTGATGGCCCTAAATTATTTGCTTTCCTTGAAACCCCTATTATGGTTGCTATAAGTTGGATGTGACTTGATGGCACAGAACAACCACAGATATTAATGAATAAAAGTGACACTAAAATTGTTCTGTATTTGTAGCAATTTTCTAACTCCGTAGAAAACATCTTTTACTGAGACTGCTCCGCATACCATCAAACCTCATTTTCAGATACCATCAGTTAAAAACTACAACAGCCGATGTCAGCTTCCAAATAGTTACAGTATAAATGGAGGGGGGGGGAACTACTGAAGTGCTAAGAATAAGTCACAAAATTCAGTGTTGTGCTTATACTTCAACTTACCCCTCTTCACTGTAAAAAAATAACATAAGAATTAACTAGAGATCTAATCCTTTTAAAGGTACTGTGGCCAAGACTGTTACATATTATTTACTCATCGTTCTTTCCATTATTGGTATTCTTTCAAAAAGTATTGGTACTCTCCATTTGATGGAAAAGCTGTAGTGATGGTTTGAATATTTGCTTAAAATAATATGAAAAAATAATTGACAGCTACTTGAAAATGTGCAGGTTTAATTTATGGTGTGCATGGTCCCGTAACCCTATTAATATGGCTCCATTTTAGTATGGTATGATTATAAGAGTTCTCTATAATAGTGTTTTTATTCTTCATCTGCAAATATGCCTGGAAGTACATACCAGTAATAACGTGACTCTCAGGAGAACAAAAAATAAAATAAAATAAAACAAAATAAAATAAAAGGTGCTGCAACATACAGGAACATCTTCGATATGGAATATTAGATGCTTCATGCACAATGTATGCCACTGAGCAAATGATCAGTGGACATATTTGTTAGAAATATCCAGACTGGGGATTTCCAGAGAAGAAGAAGAAAGAATTAAAAACCCCAATGACAAAAATAGGATTCTCAGGCAATCTATCCCTCTGAAGCAAAAGTATCAGTGGAAGAGGGTTTTAGAGATCTGAAAATCTGATAGTTAATATTTATGTCCTCACCTCCAATGAATTACATACTTGCATGTTTTGTTTTCAATTGGAATTTTTTCTCCTTTTTCATTATGAGAAACAACACCAATGCAATACCAAGATAAAAACAGTGGTCTAACAAGATGGAGCTGTTGATCTGTTTTGGTGCACAGGTATAGAAGGACTTGAAAAATGGAAATGCAAAAGGAATACATTCTGAATTCTTCTCATGACCAAAAGTCCAAGTATTTGAAAGGATTAGTAGGGCATTGCAAACAGTAACAGTGGGTCTTAAGAGTCCTGACTAGCTTCAGCAAATAGCAGCTAATATTTTCCATAGCCCTCCTTTATATCTTCTCTGTATTTGATCCTCTATCAGCAATGGGCCATGTTTGTGTGAATTCTTTGCACTTTGCGTGAAGCCAACTTTTCTTTTCTGTCTCTGTCAATGCCTTGCTTGATAGAATGCAGTGAGACAAGCTGTCAGGAACATAGAATGCCTTCTTTATGAAAAATGGTAATTCATATCTGTCTCCTACCTGGCACAAGAGTAAGGCTCAGAGCCAGAGAGTCAGGGGTTACTGAAATATGTAGTGAGAGTCCCAAGCCAGGATGAGAGTCAAG